GATGATGATGATGATGATGATGATGATGATGGATGCTCTGACAGTGTGAACGCATGGATCCTATTAACTGTTCCATCATGGAAATAAGTCCTTAGAATAGTTTGGTCAGAAAGTGCTTTTAAGATAAGCCCTACAGGGCCAGCAGATGGCATCATCCATTGTTTGCTGATGCATCTCAGTAATCCAGGTAAAAAATCAAAAAGAAAAAAATTGTATAGGTCTTCTGGACGGGTTCTTCAGGCTTAAGCCTGAATTTTACCTGAAACTCTCAGACTGAAGAAGTCTCTTGGAGAAGAGATGAAACGTTTCATTAGAGAAGAACCCGTCCAGAAGACCTATACAAATTTTTTCTTTTAAATTTTTAATGTGATGCGTTCATGATTAGGAAGACCTCTCAGCCTTCCTGTGAAAGTGTAGTTTTTCACATAAAAGAATGAAACAAAAGTAGCATGTACTGCAAAGTGTTGGTCAGTCAGTCTGGATAAGCTCTATATAAATAACATGATGGCAAAATAAATGTAAGAACAAACTCCAAATTAAGATTGAAACTTTTTGTTTGTTTCCTTCAATAGTACACACAAACTCAACTTATGGTTGTTATGATTGGCTTAGTTTCCACTCCTAATTATCTGTAAGTACCTTTTTTTATCTGTTTGTTTTACATTTGGGACCACAGTTTACCTACTTACATACTGCATCGCTACATTAGAGCTGTTTGTGAGATTGTGTAACAATGAAGGAAAATGGGAGAGGGTTACGCCAAGAACAACACAAAACTCCCATCTCTAATTCTTATCTGTGTGTGTGTGATTACAATCATTTTGGGATTTTTTTTCTTCCTCCCAACAACGTTTTTCTGAATGTGTGTGCAGTGCATAGTGTATAAGCTCAAGTTCAACTGTGTGGCAAAGTTCTTATTTTTTTAATGTGACATTTTAATAACTTTATTAACAAGCAAACATCTGTGCATACATGTGCAGAATATATGAAAAAAAATGTTCCTGAAACTTTTTGAGGTTTTGCATGTAATCTATTTAGCACTGACTTTTTCATTTTTTTTAATTAAATAATTTTTTTAGAAGTTCTGATGCATTCAGTGCATGTAAAAAAACACAAGCTAAAAATCAGTTTAAAAACTTTTATTCGAAAATGATTTAAAAAGACGATGCACAGAAAAAACTATGAACGCAAATAAAAAATTGTTTCAAATAAATAAGAAAAATAAATAAAATATAAAAATAATAAAAACATGATTTCTTTTTTTTGCTTTTTTTAAAAATGCTGTTGCCGGTTTTTGTTTTGTTTTGTTTTTTCAATTATCTCTTTTAAGTCAAGTTAAGACTGTTTGCAGGTCCTGATCCAGGTTTTAGAACACATCAGTGGAACAACTTTAAGCAGCCTCTGTTCATTTGACATGGATCATAAAGCACACTTAAAAACTGCTGAGTTGAATGAAAAAGATGAAAATGACAAAGTGCCACATTAATATTTCTGGCTTTATCTCTGTCCATTTACTTTTCCATATACTTTCTCCTTTCACTCTTGTCCCCATTCCTTTAGCTTTACATATTTGATCTGTTTTCCCTCTCTGTCCTTCTGTTTTTCTATTTGTCTTTCTTTTACTTCCAGTCTTCATCCAGTCTAACTATTTTTTTCCTTTCTCTCCAAGGTGCTGAAGATAATAGTTGCCTTCCTGCATCTGGTTGCCCTGACATCTGCACGTGCTCAGATGGTGTGGTGCGATGCAGCAACAGAGGGCTGCGCACTCTACCCAAAGGCATTCCCAAGGACACCACTGAGCTGTGAGTCAGGCAATCACACAGTGTAACACACGCCTGCATACATTTGTGATTGCAACGAGCAAAATAACACAAAGTACAGCACAAAATACAGGCATCCAAATGCACCAAAATGGGCATTTTCGTCAGCACTCTACGACAGCGCAACTCTGCCAAGTCACGACAAACATATATAAAAACAAATAATAATGCTTTGCTGCAGCTCAGCGCTGATGTATCAGTTAGCCCTCTGCCGCTTCAGGAACTAGCAAATAATTTATTGAAAGCGCACTCACAGAACTGGCTGCGTTTACGGTTCAGTTAGTCCAAGTACTGTTGTGTTCATGAAGCTTAAGCACACGCAATCATTTCAATCCCTCCACTGCATCCTGTTATACCGCCAGAGCACCAAAACCTGTGAGGAAATATTGAAAGGTGAATTCAAATATTTTTATGCCCATGCGTATGTGTGTGTGTGTGTGTGTGTGTGTCCAAAATATCCCATGAACCATTGAACGTCAAATTTTTACTAGTAATGAATGGAAGCACATGCTGCAACTCTGTCTTTTCTTAACATACACTGAAAAAAAACAGAGTGGTAGGCTTAGTCATTAATAAGACCTATGAGTTTCACTTTGTCTGTTTTGTTTATGAAGAAGAATCCAATAAAGGTTCTTCAAAACCGCCACCTGGTGGTGAAGTCTTGAACTACAACAAGAGCAATGCTTACTCTYTCTGTAGCTGTGAGGTGTCATGCTACAATATTGTGCTTGACGCATGTGCACTGTCATAAAGAACTTGTATGATTTACTAGAAAAAAATCCTCGTAACAATTTGCACTAATGTTTGTTAAGTACAGTATATGCAACAAATTCAAGTGATATTTACTCATCATTATCTTGTAAAAATTATTAAGGATATGGTTAAAGATTTGTGAATAAATCAGGTAAAGTTTACTTAATTTGATCAAGTATATGTTACAAGATTTAATTGAGCAAATTAAGTAAAATTTACCTGATTTATTCACAAATCTTTAACTATATTCTTAATAACTTTTACTAGACAATGATGAGTAAATATTACGTGAATTTAAATTTTTAAATTTACTTAACAAACATTAATGCAAATTGTTACAAGGATTTTTTCAAGTAAATCATACAAGTTATTTTTTAAGTGTAGTTTTATATTCTTGCCTGAAAGGCGGTGGGCGACATGCATTTCCTCAAGGAACGGTAGGCCTTTAACTTTATATTGCTGTGTATTTGCAGTTAAACGGAACCTGGCAGAAATCTGTGTAATTAAAAATGTAGATCGATAAAGGAAGCGCCTATAATGATAGTAATTGTTCGAATTGATATAGTATAAAAACAAGGCCAAAACGATGTTAATCAAGATTAGGAAATTTAGAGAGTACTGAAAACTAAATCTCTACCAGTAATAGTGAAATATTGCATTCACTTGCAGAAATGCTCACACAGCTCCATGCACTCGCGTAAACACAAACAGAAAACTCTCTTAGCTGTGAAATAGGTCTGTGCTACAGGGTCAATAGCAGTGATTAGGTATTGATCAGGCTGAAGAAGACACTCCATCATACTGTCCACATAACCTACTTATGACCTGAGGGAGAGACGAGAGACTATTAGATCATAAAGAAAATGTGTGCATCTGTGTGAGCTTGAATATAAATGTTTGTCTTGTGTCCCATACTTGTAGGTAAATGTTTYATTCAGATTTGACACAGTCTTAAGTTTAATCTTATTATTTTTCTATGCCATACAGAAAATACAACTTTGTAGTAAGCCTGTAGTAACAGTCCTGCAGACTGCCACTGTAAGAGGCAGTGATAAAACAAAACGTTGTGACCAACATTTCCCTTTTACTAAAATGAAATTAATTGTCACAAAGAAGAACCAAGTTAACTAAACTGTGCCACTTACAGCCATGATTACGGAATCTGTTTGTTGAAAACCAAGCAAGCTTTCAACAAAAAGGCCACATGGATAAACTTGATTTAATCTATTTATTTGATTTTATGTTACTTATTGACAGTCAAGTCACATTATGATGTGTTGCTCCTTGTCTTGTTTGTTTCTTCGTACCATATGTTTGTATGGTTTTAAATTTCTTCCAATATTTACGAGGTTTTAGTTGGAGCTTTTATGAGTTTTGTTTATTTATCGCTGTCTAATACTGAACCATAAAAGCAATTGCGCAATCTTTTGGCCTTGTGCCAGGTTAAACTGCGGTGTGAAGACATCAGTTTCAATGTGGAAATTTATTTATCCAAGATGAGTTTATCATTTTTGTTTATATTGAAGAGATCACCATGATGATTTGAACAACTGATCATGTTCATGCTTTTCTTCTATAATAGTCACAAGAAGCTTGTGCACGACTACAGCTTTCTGATTAATAACACAGAATATATCAGCTTGATTGTGGCTTTATGCATAATTGTGCTATTCCCACCTCCAGAACCAGACTCTCCCACAAGGCACACATTTTAAATTGCAAGTTGCTAAATTGCCCACAATTGTAAATCTGCCTCTAAATCTTTTTAAACCACTAAACTCCAGTTTTCTCATTTAGGCAAATAGATTACATAATTTTAAACAATAGCTGTGGTAAAGTTTTGCAAAAAGAATGAATGAAGCAAAAAGTTTAAACACCTTTCATCTTCATCTTGTCTGGATTTTGTCTCTGTTTTCCAAGATTTATACCATCGTTTGTCAAACTGAAATATGTAACAATCAAAATAACTTCCCCTGGTGGTTATCTTTGTGTAAAAGTGCCACATGCTAAATTATCTATACATTTCTTTCTTGCAGATACCTGGAGGGTAATATGCTGACATCTGTGCCCAAGGAGCTGGCAGCCCTGAAGCAGCTGTCACTGGTGTATGTAGAATAACCATGAACCAACTCGACAGGAATCTTTGTTGTCGTTTATAAAACTTGTGTCTTTAAATTAACTTTGTATTTGCTCATTTACTTTACACAGGGACCTCAGCAACAATAGCATTAGCACCGTAGCTCCATATACCTTCAGCAACATGACTCAACTAGCAACACTGTAAGTTTACATGGATACAAGCATGTCATGCTTTTAGCCATAGATATTTGTAATACATAATCTGTGTGTTAATTTGAAGTTTTGTCTGTTCTGAATTTCAAATTTTGTGTTTGCATCTTTATTTTTTCTCCTTTGAACTTTCCTGTCTGTCCTTATGTTTCTGTCCTCTTTTTTTTTTTACCTCATACAGCGGGTAAAATAAGTATTGAACACGTCAACATTTTTGTCAGTAAATATATTACTAGAGGTGCTAATGACGTGAAATTTTCACCAGATGTCGGTAACAACCCAAGTGATCCATACATACAAAGAAATCAAACCATAAATGTCCAGAAATGAAGTTGTAATAATGTGGAATGGCACAGGGAAAAGTATTGAACACATGTACTGAAATTTATCTAATACTTTGTACAAAAGCCTTTGTTGTCAATGACAGCAAACAGTCTTCAAATCTTGAAGGTTTCGTGGACCTCTTCTATGAACTCTGATCTTTAGTTCTTTCCATAGA